GCAAGAGAACCAGCTCTGAGCCCGGAAAGCTGTGTGTGGTCTTGACTCAAGCCAACCTGGACCCCACATTCCCTGAAGTGTCACTGGCTTTGCTCTGCGGACAGTCAGCTCTACCTGCTGTATCTGCTCCAGTGTTTCTCACCCATTAACTTCCAGGTGTTCCGTTCAGGCTTTTCCTGTGAGGTAAGACTTGATTGGAACTCCCAAGCAGTGACCAACAATGGTGGGGGAGCTGAATGTGCACCCCAGACTCTTTCTTACCACTGGAGGAAACGTAGGCTCGGGAGACCTCTTGGCGGGGCTCAGCCCTGGCCTAGGGGAGGGGCCGTGTGGTCAGCGCGTAGCCCTTCCTGCCATTTGTCTTGGTCTCTGTGTACAGGAGCTGCTTCAGCTTCACCCGGTTCTAGAATTTTCTTGGTGGTATCTTGTCCATGAACAATTCAGTTGTTCTTTTGATGGGGGTGGAAGGGCCAAGTCTGGAATGACATGTCTCCCTCTTCGTGACTTCCTACCATTTTAAAGCTGCCTATTTCTTGATTCAGTATTTGCTTGGTTGCCATAAACTCTTGCCTGTTTCCAGAATTATGAAAAGTTGGTTGTGCCCTTGTTTTTTTTTTTCTTGTTTTTTTTTTTAAGGGGGGAGGGGGGGGAGGGAGATGTTGGTGGGGAATTGAGGGGGACCACCAGACAAGTTGTTCTTTATTTAGTCTTAGTTGTGGAGGGCGCCAGTCGCCATCTGGCTGCCCGTCGGCAGCTTGTGGCCTCTAAGCTCAAGATGCTGTTTTACAATCTTAGGTGCAGGTGGGCGTAGCCACCATCCCATGCGGGAGTCGAACCAGCAGCCTTGTTAAGAACGCACGCTCTATCCACTGAGCCATCGGGGTGGCAGCTCAGCTCAAGGTGCCAAGTTCGGTCTTAGTTGCAGATCGGCATAGCCCACCATCGAACAGGCAGTCTTCTTGTTACACCAGCTGAGCCATCCTGCCACCTGTTGGCAGCTCAGTGGCAGCTCAGCTCGGGCGCAGCATCACTGGCCCATGTGGGAATCAAACCAGTGGCCCCTTGTTCAGAGCTCGCACTCTTAAGCTAATAACTCTTCACCAACCGTGCCACTCGGCCAGCCCTCCTGTTTGTTTTTCAATGTTTCTGTGGGAGGACAAGGTCTTGGATCCATCTACTCATCATTTTGCTCGTGTGTATTGTTCTAAACCTCCCTATCACGTTGTGGTAGGGTGGTTATTGGTTTAAGTAATTCCCGGAGTCTTTTGTATAATTAGAAGTGCAAAAAGTCATGTTTTTCCTACTAGAAATAGAAAAATGATTTACATTATCAGTTTTCAGGGATAGGTTAGTCTATGCCCCTTTAGAAGGCCTCCATTGTTCCAGACACCGGGCACTGTTCACAGAAACCTTGTGGGATGGGTGCTTTTACTTTATTTTACAAACGTAGCTTTGGAGAGGTAAGCAGCTTGTCAAAAGTGGCATAGGAGATAGGTGGTGAGGCTAGTAATGTCAAAACTGAGAAGTGTCTGAATCTGGACTCTTAAAATTAGTTTTAAATAATATCTCCAGACTATATCAGAATATGATGGGAAGGTGAGAGATGGATGTTAGTGTTTTACAAAGCTCCCCGTGGGATTCACGTGTATAGCTGGTTTTGAGAACCACTGTACTTAACATCCTGCCTCCAATAGAAACAGCAGAATGAAGGTGAAATTCAAGGCAGGTCATTTTGCTCTATTAGGTTGTTGGAAAAGTCATGACACATTTTTGCAACGAAAAGCAGAAAAAATACATCATGACTTTTCCAACAGCCCAATAAATTAGGCAGCTAAATAAAACGCACAGGTACTGTTTCCAATGAAGGCTGTAGAGTGACAGTCTTGTTTGGGTTTGCCCGGGATTTCCCCAATTTTATCACTGAAAGTCCTGCATCTTGGGGAACCCCTTATTCCAGGCAAACCAGACCAACCAGATATTTATGAAATTTAATTATCTGTAATAGCCTTTTAAGATTTAAAAATCCTAGATGTTTTCCTGAAAATTAGAGCACAATAAGGGAAATGGTTTTCCTATGCATTCTTTAAGCCTTAAGAAGCCCAAACAGGCCTAGGGACGTTCTGCGTTGGTCAATGAACAAGCTATCAGTGCTCCTAACTTCCTCACTTCACACATCTGTCACACATCTGTCAGTTTTGCAGAAATTTTGTCAAGGGTGTCCTCCCCACGCCAGGCCAAAAGAAATAGTGCCATTTATAGCCATTTAGGTTCAAATATTCAAACATAATACACATAAATTTAAAAATATTGCATCCTTAAATCATAATTACTAATGGGGATGTGTGTAGCTGTTGGCCACTGGGCGATTTATCAAAATTTGGAATCAGACTGAACACTAGTACTCATTTCCTGTTCCACATAGCATGTCACAGGGCCGTTGCTTTTCATCACAGCAACCTCTAACAACCCAGCTTCACAAATACGAATCGTCTTCATAACGAATGTAACATGATCTAATGTTGAAGCTGAGCAACCTCGAGCTGTAAGTTCCAGTGGCTTCTGACAGATGGCAAGTACTGTTGTCTCCTTTGTCAATTTGAAGTGTCCCACAATGCCTCTGTGAGTTCACATCTGTGCCCCAGGGCATCTCAGCACGCAGTTTGGGAACCGTGGAGCTACAGACATTTAATTCTGTCACACAATTTACATGAAAATATCCAAATGAATAGTCAACCTCAGTGCTCTTTTGACACTTAATAAAAAGCCTGTAAATTCTGCACTAACAAACATTAATTCATATTTCTCTGGACTAACTCCGTAAGACTTGAATGTGTAAGAGAACATAGGCAACATAAATTAGTGTTTATAATTGTCTTACAGGATCTTCTTGGGACATTTCTGTTTAGCAGATCATCCTGAATCCCCAACATGAAATACTACAGGGCAGTTATTCTAAGATGGAAAATTTGTTAGGTGTAAGTGTGTTTGGGCAGAAAATGGATTAAGAACCACTTGTCTAATGGATTGTGTATTCATATGTTAAAAACAAAAATATCTCTGGATATTCCTATCAGTTTTCCTCCACTGATGTCAGTTAACATCCATGAAAACAATATCATGAAGGGCAATCAGTACGGCCTTCGAAGCTTCTCAGCTCATTGGTAACACTGTCAGATAGTTTACTATTCCAGACACTTGTCTGATCTAGAAGGTATTTTAAAAAATTGGTGTATAATTAAAGTACAGTAAAATACACAGATCTTAGATTTTCTGTTCAATGAGTTAAAAAATTTTTTGTTTCAGGTGTACAAAACAATGTAATAGTGAGACATTTACACCCCTCACAAAGTGATGACCCCCCCCTTCCCCAATCTACTACCCCTCTGATATCATATATAGCTGGTACAATTCCATTGACTCTATTCCCTATGCTGTATGCCACATCCTGTGATATATATATATAAATTATGGTTGACATTCAGTGTTATTCAGGTAGAGTTTTTAACAACTGAATACACCCATGTACCCCATGCAAATGAAGATGAGTATTTCTGTTGCTATTTTAAGTATCCTTGTTTCCTTTCATTCCTTCATCACTCCAGTTATGTTTTTATATTTAATATACATTGAATCATAATGAATTATTTTCTAACTTCTTTCATTTAACAGTGTGAGATTTACTTATTGCATGCATTAGTACATTTCTAATGCTGAGTAGTTTTCCATTGTGTAAATACACCAGTTTATCCATTGTTTACAGTTTTGGCTATTGTTAAGGCTCCTACCAACACTCTTATACAAGGTTTTTTAGAATTGCTGAGTTGTATAGTAAGTGTTTAATAAGAAACTGCTGAACAGTTCTCCAAGTGGTTGTTCAATTTTACACTTCTATCAATAACATATGAGTGTTCCAATGGCTTCACATTCTCAGCATTTGTTGATATTAGTCTTTTTCAGTTATCCTAGTGGATGTGAAATGGTCTATCGTGGTTTTAATTTGCACTTCTCAGAGGACCTAAGATGTTGACTGCTTTTTCATAAATTTTACATTTTGAGAAAGTGCAACTTACCTTTTCTTTCTTGGTTAGTGTTTCCTGTGTCCTACCCAAGGAATCTTTACCTACTCCAAGGTCAAATATTTTTTTCAACAAGCTTTCGTTCTGAGTTTATATATTTAGAATATTTATATTCATCTCTATTTTTTGGAGGGGAGGGCAGGGGGTTGTTTGCATATAAAATAAGGTGTAGGCTCATTTTATTTCATAGATGTTCAGTTGTTCCACTAATATTGTTATAAAGACTTTTCTTTTTTCCACTGAGTTAACTTGGCACCTTGGTCAAAACTTGATTGCCTATGTTTAGGTCTATTTCTGGATTCTTGATTCTGTTCTATTGACATATTAATCTATTCTTATTCTAATAGCATAGACTTGATTACTGTAGCTTTACAGTAAGTCTTGAAATCAGAACAAGTCTTCCAACTGTTCTTCCTATTCAAGATTGGCTATTTTTAAGGTATTTATTTGCATTTCCACTTTAATTTTAGTATACTATATTTTAATCAATCAGTCTACTTTGTTTAAGCCTGATAAGGACTGCATAACTATAAACCAGTTTAGGGAGAATAGACACCTTAACTAATATTTGAGTTTTCCAATTCATGAACATGCTATATCTCTCCTTTTATTTAGGTTTTTAAAATTTTCTCAGCAAAGTTCTGTAGTCTTCAAAGCAGAGGTTTTGCACATCTTTCTATAGACTTGTTCCTAGGTATCTGATGTTTTTGCTATTGAGATGTCTTCAAAATTTAAATTTCTGATCAGACCATTAGCATGCCCCTAGGTTTTGATTTTTGGAAGATCTTGCTAAATGTGCTTATTAGTTCTATTTTTTTTTTTTTGTAGAGTACATCAAGTTTTCTAGGTAAAAATCATGTCATTTGAAAACAATGACTTTGTTAATGCTTGTGTTTCAATCTTTATGCCTTTTTCTTCACTGTATGGCTAGGACCTATAGAACAACATTGAACAGACATGGTGAGAGCACACATCCTTGCTTTATTTAGTATTTCACCATTTAGTATGATGTTAAGTGAAGATGTTTTTGCAGATGCTCTTTATCAGACAGAAATTTATATTCCTTGTTTTTGTATTGGGAGAGGGTGTTGAATTTTGTCCAACGTGGTTTTCTGTAACCACTGAGATGCTCATATTGTTTTCCTTTTATTCTTTTCATGGGTGAATTATACTGATTGACTTTCGATTGTTAAACTAACCTTGCCTTCCTAGAACAACCATTAGGCTTGATGTATTATTATCCTTTTTTATACATTGTTGGTCTCAACTTGTTAATACTTAAGGACTTTTATTTCTATATTTATGATGGATACTGGTCTGTTCTTTTCTTGTAATATCGTTTTCAGGTTTTGTTTCACATACAGCATTTCTAAGGAGTCATCCACATAAATATCACTGTCACAAGCCTAAGAAAGGCAAGAATCAATTGGTTTGAGGTGTTTTTTATGGTCATTTTTTGGTTCCTAAACCATCATGAAAAAGGTTTTTAAAAAGTCATGTCTCATTCTGTAAAAATTTTGTTTTTTTTTAAAAGAAATTTTTATGGGGGAACAGTGTGTTTTTCCAGGACCCATCAGCTCCAAGTCAAGTAGTTGTCTTCAATCTAGTTGTGGAGGGCGCAGCGCCTTGGCCCATGTGGGAATCAAACTGGCAACCTTGGTGTTATGAGCCTGTGGTCTAACCACCTGAGCTAACCGGACACCCCAAAAATTTCATTATGTGAACAAAAAACTGAAAAAACTCCAAGGAAAGAATTGAGATGTGCAATTAGCTGCTAAGTCCAAGTTCTGTTCTTACTAATTGTATTCCTCCTGTTCATTCTATTTCACAGTGACAGGAAAAAAAAAAATCTACACTGAGGATTAGGCAAGCTTCAAATATAAAATGCTTTTGAATATCCTTCATTATAGTATATGATAGACACAAATCTTGAGGTTCAAACTCCAAGCATAATGAAATTTAGTTGAAAGCTACTGAAATTTAAATCAATTTGTAGTTTAGAAAATAGATCTCATATTGTCCATTCTATGAAAAGCAACCGAAATCTCTCTGTCCAAGTGAAAATGTTAGGGAACACATCAACACATCTTTAATAGAAATGCAAAAGTCAGAGGGAAACTTACAAATGTGCATTTTAATAGTAAAAAATTACAAATTTCTTATACAATAAAGTATGCCCCATTCACATCAACAATAAACCCCCCCACCCCATTTTTGTAAATAGAGAAATGGTCTCAAAGGGTAATGCTGAAGTGAAAACAGCAGTTATCTCTGGTAACAATAATTGTGTGATAATGTGAAATGCTTTTCATTAATGGCTTTAATTTTCTAGATAATCTATTCCTGTATAATTTCTGTAACTAAAATAACTTTAAAAATTGTTCAAGTCAATCATGAGTCTTCAGTGCCATAGAAATAACACATCAATCTACTAAAATGCATGTAGCTTCAAAACTACAGGTGATACTGTCACAGGCCACATGCTCAAATCCTATAATATAATCAAATTTTTTCTGATTATCTTTTGTGCAACAATATGCAAAATATATGTGTTGGGTTGCCACTGAGTTACTTTACAAACAGATTTAAGAAAAATTATTATTAAACTCTTCCTTTGAAAAATATTCTCAACTTTTTGATTCAGTTATCTTGCCTCAGATTTTAGTTATACAAATATTTTATCAGAAAATGAATCACACATTTTGAATATTTAAAATACCTATTTCTTCTCTAAGCTTACCACTAATAACAACATAACAAAAAATAGTAACTAACCTAACAAGTAATGACTTAGTATACCAAAAACATTATACACAAAATTAAAAGAAAAATGGCAGATGAAAAAAACTATAACACAGGATGGGCAAAACACCAATATCTTTAAAACATGAAGCCCTTACAAATCCAAAAGAAAAAGATGAATGGACATGTCAGGAAGAATTACTAATGGCCAAAAAACAACGAGCATTCACTTTCTAATGCCAAAACAAATAATTAAAATAAGATCTTTTTCACCTATTAAATTTACAGTGAGTTAAAAAAATGATAATGCCTATTGCTTACTGGCTTCTCTTGCACTTGTGTTGGTACAATATATTGGTACAGATTTCTGTAGGACAATTTGATGATCATTAGTCATCAAAGCCTTAAAATGTCTTAATAGTTAACAAATAATTCATTCCAATTAAGATTTCCATTTTAAGGTATTTGTAAAAAGAGATAATTAAAATGTAGAGAACTAAAAGATGTTTTTATGGATCAGGACAGAAACACCAAAGCCAAAGCAGCCACACGCAAGGCTTTTCCAGCTCCTCTCTTAAGTTGGAAAAGCAGCCAAAAGAATCAAAGGGAAATATATTACACTCTTTTGCCCCTGTGTGCTTCATTCCTGCAAACAGCACAGAGTCAGGAGGGGCAGCCTTTCCTGATACCAGAAGGTAGAAGGTGGAAGGAATGGAGGGATGAAGTCATTTTTTCTTTTCCAAATCCTCGCCTCCATTACTAGGAATATAGAAGAGGTTCCAGGTTTCCCCCACCCTGCTCCAAAAAAGGAGCAGTGTGACTATATTAACATCTCATTTTTGTACTTTCCTATAAAGGTTACTCAAACTTCTTTAATTACTGATTTAAGATGATCTAAGTGATATTCTTCTATGAAGGATTCTGCTTGATTCAAAGCTCTTATTTTCACCAGAATAAGAATTATTTCTTTGACTTCATCCCTGAGAAATAAACAAAAACAGCATTTTTTTCACTTTTAAAAATGTAATGTATGAGAGTACAGTGAATCACCAGTTGTTAAACTAAAACAAAAACTTTACCTTAGGCCAGTATCTCAATAGCATAGATACTACCTTCTCCACATAATTATAAAGTTGGAATACAGACTATTTAGTGGATGTACTCTGGCAAATCTTAATGCGAATGACTTTAAAAAGCAGAAAAGCACAGAACAATCTATTATCTGAGTTATGAAACTGAGCTATGGTGAGTGGCTTCCAGTCTGTCTGGGCTATTATAGTGGGAGCCTCGGTGGGAATATTTATCCCACAGATATCAGGGTTTTTAACTCCCCCCCCCCCCCCCCGAGAAGTGGTTTACCAGAACAACACTGTCCTTAAGCCCCTAAACATCTAATGCTGTGAATGAGACATGTAAAACAGAGATCCCGCTACTGTTGGTAAAGAGCAGGCTGCAAATCTGTACTTAAAAAGTGTTGACACTTTAAAAATAGCCAGAAAAATTAAAAGCATATAGAAAACATGCTTAAAAAGAGGCTTTTAATTTATGTTTTTAATTTAAATTACCATGTGCTATAGTTTTCTGGAAGTGCTTATTTTGGAAGAGATTTACATTTAAAAATATGAACTAATATGCATGAGGTGTGAGTATAAAATAGTGATTCCAAAGTTTGCATATGAAAATATCTACTAACTACAGTGATAGTTGCAACAGATTCTTATAATAAAAGTACAAATCTTTCTAAAAATTGTGAAGAATAGAATCTTTGAACTATGCTTACAGGGGTACAATTAAATATGCATGACCTGAATATGGGGGTACAATTAAATATGCATTACCTGGATTCACTTCTAGATAATTTATGTGCAGACTGCAATAAAAACTGGATGAAGTTTTCAAGCTGAGGAATAGATGTTCTCATGGCAGAATTCTCAAACCATTTTTTTGGTAAATATGCTGCTATCTGTTAATCAAAATATACAGTTGGTTTTCAATAACGACCGTTATCATCTAAGGATTTTTGCTAACACGATCCTCATAGTGATCATGCAAGTTACATATTATCCCATTTTATAGTTTATGGTTAAATAAATTTTGAAATTCTCCCTTTCTTTGTCAAGGGTTTTACACTTAAAAAAAAATCTTATTTTAATGCCAAGAGGTTCAAATAGAATGTCACTCTTTGTGAACAGTCTCTAGTGGTACTTGTAGTACTTTCTATATATACTCTATATTCTTGAACCATTAAATCTGTATAAAACATAATTTACAACTAAATGCCAAAAATTTCTAGACACAAAACATTTTTAGTCAATACAAAATACATACATTTAGTATTATTTCACTAAGATATAAGGTGACTCAACATATGATCTACATAAACAAATTAGAGTTAAGGAATCAAGTAGGTGATTAAGATATACAGAATTTTAAAATTACAGTAATTATGGCTTTGATTTTCTTATAATCTAATAAATTGCTTTTAAATGTTCATGGCAGTATAAAGATAGCATATGTGCATTCAATATTTCTTTTGGAAAAAAGAAAACAAAAAAACCCCACTTATCATCATCATGTTAAAGGTAATACATGATTTTGGGGGAAAGTTATGATAAAAACAGAAAAATGTTAAAACAAAGGAAGAGAAAAACTTCATAACAGGAGGAAGAATAAAAAGAAGAGAAAAGGGGAGGAAGGAAAAACCATTCAAAGTCTTGGACAATCAAACAGGTTATGCTATAGTTAGTAAGATCAAGATCAGTTCTTATATAAAGTTGGGGGGAAATGTACCACATATTTATTATAAAATGTGTTAAATGGAAGTTCTGGAATGCCTGTTTCTAAAATAAATCTGATCGGCAGCACTGAAAACACAGATAACGAAAAAGATTTATCCTACTCCTTAATCACCCTTTCCAATTATCCAGAAAAAATGCAGATATGTTGCTTGATTAAGGTAAAAAGTCCTGCAAGTTTTATTATGCAAACTGTATCTCATTTTTTAAAGACATGAAACCAGCCTTTACTGGCTTGAAATTTAATGTCATTTGCACTTGGCTTTCCCTTTGTTTTGTATCAAAAGTCTCAATAAAATTCTCATGAAACCATCTAGCTTTCCATAAATGATCCCAGGACATAAAACCACATTGTTTTGGCCTGGTTTTTTAGCTACAAGCTGTGGAGAGAATGTCATGTGTCCTCTTCTATACCTCTGCATGGGAGACTCTTAGGGTTAAGAGAGACTAAACAGAACATGAAACAGACAGCATGGATGCTTTACATTTTTGCTAGATAATGTATAATAGTTTAAAACTACATGATATAAAAACTATAGCCAGAAAAATCATGGTTGGCTAGGAACTGCAACTTAACATTTTATATATTGTTTTTTATTTAGTTTATATTATAAGGTAAATATTTTCCCCCTTTTTTTTTTTAAGGTTTTATTGGGGAACTGGGGGAGGGGAACAGACAAGTTGCTGTCCTTTTGTTCCTCAGTCTAGCCGTGGAGGACGTCGCCTCACTGGCCCATGTTGGTATATTATCATTGCGCTCTTCCCGGGAGAGGCAGTCGCTCACGGCCATTGGATGGCCGCTCATGGCAGCTTACGAAAGCTCACACCTGCTGCCGGCCAGCCCCACTGCAGCCTACGCTGTCGCAGGCGCCTCATGGCAGTCCAGCTCCAGGTCGCGCTGTTGTTCACCATCTTAGCTGTAGAGGGCGCAGCATCACTGGCCCTCATGTGGAATCCGAACTGGGGCCCTGTTTGCTTAGAGCTGGTGTCCCAAGCCAACTCCCAACCAACGCGCCACTCGGCCGGCCCTCCCATATTCTTAAAAATTCTTAAACAACATGACTTCTATGGATAGATAATAATGTTTCTGGACAGTCAGGTTGTTTTTAACTATCTTCTATTATAAATAATGCTACAATAGTCCTGTTGTTATCCCTCCTTCCACTGGTGCAGACTGTCTCCCAGAACCGCCGCACTACACATTCCAGGTGAATGTGCCCCTGGCATAATACCGGGCTGTTGTTTCCCTGTGCTGATGACAATACTGAAATTATAATGAAAATAGTAACAGTAAAAAATTTTTCCAATGCATAGGTAAAATAACATCCTTACTGTATTATTTGCATTTCTCTACTAGGTCCATTAATCTTTCCACATAAATATGTGGAGGCTATTTTGTATATTCTTTTTTGGTGAATTGCCTGTTGAATGTCTTTGGGCCATTTTTAACTGGAATATTTGAATTATTTACTGATTTGTAAAGAATGTTTTTTATATGTGGATATTAATCCTTGTTATATAACTTCCATTTCTCAGTTTTCAACTTTTCTTTTTAACTTTTTATTATAGAAATTTTCAAACAAACAACAGGAGAAAGAATAATTATAGTGAACTCAATGAACCCATTTTCCAGTTTTAACAATGATCAAATAATCTTGAGACCTTTTTGGTTAATGTTTTTTGATTCACTAGAGTTTTATATTTTTATCAAATATATTACTTTCTTTCATCGTTCTTCTTTTGCTTTTAAGTTCAGAAAGGACTCCCTTACCATCAGATACAGTCATTTATCTTCCTAGTAAAATATTTTATAGTTTCATTTTTAACACTTAATACTTTATTTTACCTGAAATTTATATAAGTATTTAGTGAGAGATAATGATCTAACATTCTTTTTGTAAACAGTTAACCAGTACAGTAATTTTTAAATATTGAGGGGTTGCTTCTGGGTTTCTGGTATGTTAAACTGATTTGTCTGTTGTTATGTGAGCAACACAATTTTAATTATTTTTCTACAAAATAGATTTTAATAATTGAATTTAAAAAAATGATAAAATTAGAACAGTTTCCTCCATAACTCACCTGGTTGCACTTTTTAACAATATCTGGCCCTGGTGTGGCATTAAGAAGAGCTATGATAAGGTAACGATTTAGTAGCTTCTCAAGTCCTAGCTCTCGCAAGGTGTCATCTGGGAGAAGTCCATCCCATAGAAGAATATTGCCAAAGAGCTAAAATAAAATAAAATGTCAAGTGACCATGTACCTTTTCTCCAAAGGAAAACTGGGACAGTCTCCAAACATAAAAAGCTGGTCAAACTCTTACTCTCACTACAATCAGCACTGCTGGAACTGTCCATTTTAGAAACAGAAAACATTTCCAAATAAATACCTGCTACTTTCCAACCTCCACATATTTGCTCATCCTATTTTCATTTTCTAGGACACCCAAAATCTGTATCAAATAAATTTGCTGGAGTCTTTCCAGATCAGTAATCCTCCTCCTCAAGTCATAGTCTCCCCAAACCTAGAGCCAGCAGATGCAAGACCACAAAACCCCAGGATTCATAAGGGACTGTTAAAGCCAGTGCCACTGTTACCAGTGTGTGTGACCTTGAGAAATCAATCAAACTTAAGAACCTCATTGCTCTGATATATAGAATAAGATTAATAATAACTTGTAAGTTTGGAGACAACTTGGGTAAAATACTTAAAAGAAATTCTAATAATATGAGTTGTCTTTCCCTCCTCTAAATCCAGATCTTTCTGTGAATTGCATAGTGTTTCCCACTTTCCAGTATTATATTTATTACTCTGAGTGCTAAACTACAATACATGTCGCTATACTAACATGCAATGCTTTTCATACTCAGTCATTGTGATGTTGCTCCCTCTTCCTGAAAAGCCTTTTCCTGGACTCAACCACATGACAAATATGAATACACCCCATTGAAACTATTCTTGCTGACGTCACCTATGACCTCTTCATTGTCAAATCCGATAAACATTTTCAGTCTTTCTCTTAATTCTTTTCAGTGGTATTTAACACTGACTTTATTCTTGAAAACCCCTCGCTTACCCTGATGCCACTCTCTTGTGACCATTCTAAGCTTCATAATTCATGCTAAGGCTTCTTTGAAGACTCCACTTTTTCTGTCCACCTGTTATGTCAGTGTTTCCCAAGGGTCTGTACTTAGCCTTCTTCTCGTGCTTCACCTAATCTCCTCAGAGGCTGTCATTCATGACCACGGCCCAAATACTGCCTACATGTAGGTGACTCAAATCTCCAGCTCAGATTTGTCCCCTGTAATTCAGATTCATATGTCCAATTGCCTCTTAGACCTCTATTCCTGTATTTGTCCCATAGGTATCTTCAATTCACTGTGTCTAAAATAGATCCTATCTTCCCTCCCAAACCTGTTCTTCTTCCAGTATGCCCTCAAAGAATGTCATCATAAGTTATCAGGCTGCTGAAGTCAGAAAGTTAGCTAGCACTCTACATTCTTCACATATAATCAATTAGTCATCAAGTCCTTTCAATGGCTCAGCCTAAATATCTTTTGAGCACCCATTCTCCTTTACCAACCCTCTATTGCCACTGACTTAACAGTGACTCCATCCTTCACCCTTCAGACCATGGGTTAGCCGACTGTAGCTTGTGGGTTAAATCAAACTTAGTGCCTGTTTTTGTAGAGCTGGTGAACTAAGAATGGTTTTTGTATTTTGAAATGGCTGAAATAAAATATAAGAAAATTTTGTGACATGTGAAAATTGTATTTAAATTTCAGTGTCCATAAGCAAAGTTTCAGTCGAACACAGCCATGCTCATTTGTTTACAAATTGTTCATGGCTGTTTTTGAACTACAGTGGCAGAGCTGAATAGTTCAACAGAGACTATATGGCTTACAAAGCCTGAAATATTCACCCTCTGGTCCTTTACAGAAAAAGTTTGCTCATCTTCACTCTATAGTACACTGGATTTAAAACAGAAAAAAAATTTATTTGTATTTTTGCAGTTTTCTTCTTACCTTTAGACCTGACCAGAACTGTCTTTCTTGGAACTTTGAATGTGGTGATGTTTTATTTTCTACAGCACTAATTTGAAATGAAAGAGAGAAAGGAGAAAATGCAAACAACTGTTAATTTTTCGGAACTAGACTTTAAGCCTTAATGGAATATAAATGGAGGTGCTCTGATATCTATCAAAATTACAAATGCATGCATACTTTGACCCAACAAATCCATTTCTGAGAATGCCTTGTGAAGATATTCTTGCACACGTAGACAATATATCTATAAAATTATTTACAATATTGTTGGTAATGGTTTATCATTTATATGCCTATCAATTACAGGATATCTACATGATGGCCTATTTATACAGCTTAAAAAAGAATGAGGAAACTACTTATATAATGACATGAAAAGCTCTCAAAGATATGCTAAGTAAAAAAAGTAAGGTATAAAACAATATATAACTTTACAATATACTTCCTTTGCTATAGAAATGAGGGAAAAATAAGATTACAACACATATAAGTATTTAATTCTAATTGCATAAAGAAATTCTGGAAAGATAAAAAAAACAGACAGTGATTATTACTGCATGCATGTACGTGCATAGAGGAGGAAGGGCAAAAACCTGTGGATGGAGGTCAGGAATGGCAGGGAATAGGACTTTTCATTTGAAATATAAATAAAACTTAACAAATATACTCATACTTTTGAACCATGTGAATATATTATTTATCTGAACATTAGAACACAAACTTCAACAGGGCAGAAGTTTTACACGTATACGTTTTCTTGATTCAAATTCACCAGAAAGCTTAGAAGTTCCTTTCTGTTCTCTCCATTAAGCTCTTCTATCCTCTGAGTACTTGCTGGATAGCTTCAGTTCATGATCCGTTATTACAGCTGATGCCTTCTTAGCAAATGTATGGACATGCACCAGATACTACTTGTTTCAGAATTTAAAGCAAATACAGGATTCACAGATGTAGTAACTGGCCCTTCAGTGATGTCCTAGGCCTCATGCTGTGCTTTCTCTGTGCCAGGCATTGTTCTGAGCACTCTGCATCTTCAGTGTCCTTTGAAGTAGGCATTAATTTAATGCCCCATTTTTACATTTTCAGTCACAGAAAGGCCCAAGGTCTGAGGTCTAGTAATGGTGAATCTGGCCTCCAGAATCTGTACTTTTAATTATTCTGCTGTGCCATTTGTCATGTTCTTAGGAACATTAAAAAACCCCCATGTCCAAGTGCCAAACTTCATACATGGCATATAGAAGGTGACTGAGAAATGTTTGTTGGAATTTCAATATGCATCTTAATGGATGTATGTGTGTTTTGAAACACTTAGTATAGTTTGTTTTGTATTGCATTCTAAACAAATCTGTATTACATGATTAGCTACTTCATACAATCTAGAAATTAACATTACTTACCTCTTTGGATACAGAGGAATAAAAACATCATCTTCTATTGCCTTCTTTATTCTTGAAACAATGGATTTGAGTAAATCCTATTATTTAAAAATTTAAAAGCATCAGTGACAGTCATAGGTAGAAATCTTTCCCAAAAGAATTTTAACAGTATAGTGCAAATTTGTACACACTCACAGAATCAGGTGTTAAAATATCAACGAGGTACAAGAGAACTTTATTCATCCATGTTGTTGCATTATCACTGTAGTTAGCATATTTTCATTGCTGTATGGTATTCTGTTGCATGAATACTACTGATAGGACATTTAGATGGTTTCCAGTTTGGGGGCTATTATGATTAATGTTGCTATAAAAGTCCTTGTACATGTTTTTTAGTACATACATTTCTAATGGGTATTCAAATAGGGATGAAATTGCTGGAATATAGTTCATGCTTATACATTCAACTTTGTACAAATTGTTTTCTGAAGTGGTATCCCACTTATAATTCCACTGGCTGTGTATGAGCAATCCTGTTTACCTACACTCTTACTAAAATGTACTTTTTTGTTTGTTTGCAATTCTAGTGGAGTTTTAGTTGTATTTTATATTTTATTTAGTTTTTATTTTTCTGTTGAGTAATGTGATGTTGAATATCCTGATATTCTTATTCGCCATTTG